CCCTACCCCCGACCTGTTCCCTGACTGCCCAAAACCTTATCCACCCCCCTGCCCCCTGACAGCCCCCCCCGAACCTCCTGACCCATCTAACCCTCCCCCCTACTCCCTGTCTCTTGACTGCCCCCTCCAGAACCCCCCGCCCCTTCTCTGACCCCCTGGCCCCCTTACCGTGCCACTCAGAACAGCGTGTTGGGTTCCACGCGGAGCCTGACACACTGCCGCGCTCCCCCATGGAGCGCATAGCCCGGTTTCCACCCTCGCAGAGTGCTGTGGAGCGGCACGCTGGACAGCAGGGGAGGAGGAGCAGGGGGAGGAGCTCCAGACTGCTGGAGGCCCGATGCGAATGGCCGGCGATCTCCGAATGCAGGGAGGGGGAGAGGGGAGTGATCTGAAGCTTCAGGGGAGAGGAGGGGGAAAGTGGAGGAGGGGCTCTGGCTGCCGGAGCCCCGTGCGAGTGACTCGATCTGGCAGGCTGCCCTGTCAACCGTGCCGCGCTCTGCATGCGGGGGGAGAAATCCGGACATTTACAAATTCCCCCCGGACGCTATTTTTAAACTCAAAAAGCCGGACATGTCCGGGAGAATCCGGACGAATGGTAACCCTAATGTAACTTAGCAGATATTGGTAACTGCACAGATACAACTTCGTCATCCTGCTTGTCTTAAGAGCAATGCAACCAAATGTAACAGGAGGAAACATGAAGCAAAATTAGTTTATCAAAATCATTTTTTCCAAAAAGCAAACTTAAACCATGAAGTGTTTCTACCGGATTATCTTGATTCATTTATATTGCACCTTGCTTTATATTTTCCTTATGGTTTTTCTATTAACAGAACAGGAAACTGAGCTTCATAATGTGCTTTAGTTCCCTTTATTGTTCAATGAGTTAAGTTAGTGACTTTAATTGGTAACACTGTCTAACAAGCATACCTATGTAATTAAAATATTTTAGCAATGATGGTTGCCAAGCCACATTTCAGATAACTGAATGAAAGAAGTACTGACTTCTTGAAATCCTTCATGTTTGCAGGTCACTTGTCACTTCTGTAAACTCTCAGGCAGTATTGTACATGCACCAGTCTCTGTGTTTACAACCTTGTAGACTAGAGCTGATCATTTCAGAGATACTTCAAAGCATGCCTTGGTTTGCTAGAGGTAAATGTTGTTAGCTTTAATTCCTCGAAAAACTCAATGCTTCAAAATCATTTCACTGCAAGACATTGGATAATAGCTAACATTTCATAAGTGCAGAGCTCCAGAGAGTTTAGCTTTCTCATTAGATATCTCTAACTTATTATAGTATGTGAGCAACTGGACAAGCTGGCAGCAGAGAAGGCTGGGATGTAGAGAAGTCTAATGAAAACCTCATAAAAGTTAAGAGTTGTTGCTTACCTTCAAGGTCACATGCGCAGTATTACATGATCTATGACATTGCTGCAACAAGCTCTCTCCATCTCACACTAGAAACTGCTGAAAGAGCCACATATCAGCAAAATGTGTTGTCTTGGCCTTTTCTTTTCTTTTCTTTTTTTGGACTTGTCTTTAATTTGACTGATTTTTCAAACCCAATATGGGAATTATTTTTAGCCTAACTATAGGGTATTTTTAATATAGGTATCTGACCTTTAAATGAGAGAGGAAAGAAAGAGGGATATAATATATGACATTTTATGCCTGGGAATATAAACTGACAAGTTTATAAATTTATATTTTTAAAAAGTTTATATTTCCACTGTAGTTCTGGGGGGAAAAAACTTCCTTGCTTTGCATTGCTGTACTTAGGGTAGGTATACTATTTATTTTGGATGTAGAATTTGCTTGAGAAATTATGGAAAATTACTGCCCTACCAAGTTCAGTCTGAGTTATAGTGGCAGAAGTTTGTTGTTCTCTGCAACAGAGAAAATGGAACCCTTGTACGTTTATCAATGCAACTTCCCTTATAAGTTGTAAAATGTATTAATATGTTCCTTCACAAAACACAAAGCCCTTTTTGAAGTCAACAATGAAAATGTTCAGGACATTGCCTCTCCTACTGAGTGTGTTTTTGTTAGCCAGAAATTCCAATAATAGGAGTTAATATAAAAACCTGGATTGGGAATACCAGAGATGGTTAGGTAGACTTATCTTTAACATACAGTATCTAGCAGTTAATGGAAGTTACAGTTAATTCTATGCAGCTGAATTGTGTTTGCTGTTATGCACTGGAAATCACAAGTAACTCAGTTAATCAGTGGAGTTTTTCCACATTTATGCTGATACAAATGAAAGCAGAGTTTAGCTCATAATTTTTTAGTATGTTGGATAAAAATTTTAGACTGCTATTGTGGCCTTGCTAACCCTTACTCTCCACAGCATATGTAGCAGCAATTCTGATACTGAGAGCTGATAGCTTTACTGCTAAATTTATTTTCAGGACATTTTTGTCAACAGACTCCTCAAGATAAGTGCAACATTTTAGAGATTTTAATGATTAATAATAGCATTTCAGTTGTCAAAAATGTAAATACTTCTATGCACTCAGCTGCCAGTTTCCTCTTTATAGAACTCACTCACTGGTTTTGAGAGCAGATTTAAGAAAACCTATTGGATGAATTTCTAATCCTGCAGGTTGAGGCTGTGTGTTTGTGTGTGTGTGTGTGTGTGGTGCACCTTTGATGTCAATGTTAACAGTTGTCTGAGCAACAGGGAATGGAATTGCCATATATCCACCCTATAATATGTCAGCCTCAGGTCATTGTTAGAAATGAAATTTGTACGGTAGATGTACAGCAATAAAAATCTTAATGGACTATCCAGGGACAGTATATTTTTAAATAACTTACATAGAAGTCACCTTGAGCACACAAGGCCTTGTAGAATGCTGCATTTAAGGCTGAATGAACCATTTTTCATTGTTTTTTTCCCCAGACAGTTGGATCTTGATGTTCCTAGTGTCATTTGCAATATAATAATGATATATTTATTTTATTTTTACAGACAAGGAGCCCAAAGCTGTCTCAAAGCCCACAGCCCAATTTGGGAGACCAGGCAGAACATCTATCCGAAGCATCTGCTGATTCTTTAGAAGCCATGTCTGAGGGAGATTCTCCAACTCCTTTTTCCAGAGGCAGCCGTACACGAGCAAGCCTTCCAGTGGTGAGGTCAGCGAACCAAACAAAGGAGAGATCACTAGGTAAAATATTTTCCACGATCCTTCAGTGCTCTGCTCTTGTAACTTTGGCATCATGTTCTCTGCATATAAAAATTTGTCTTTAGAGTGTTTTGGGGTTAACAAAATATGGATATTTGTAGCACGTTATTGTTACTGCCTGTCATAAGGAGACCAGATCGTTTAAGGGGAGATGGGAGCCAGCCGCATCTGTGCCATAATTTATTAGCTGCTTCCCAGTCTGAGGGGGTGGGATGAAGGAGGGTCACTTGGTAGTTAATCGACACCTGGGCGTTATAAGAGGGCTGATAAAGCTCAGTTTGGAAAGTGGTACCACTGAGAGTGGATGGCTCTCATCCAGGGTCTGCAGGAGGCGGGGTACTTCAGGGGAACCAGCCCGAGGCCTCAGTGCTCTATACCGGAGCAGGGAAGGACATAAGGAACATATCCCAGAAGGGGTTGAGAACTGTACTCTAGGGATACCACTTTGGGGGCTGAATGCTCTATCCCAGAACCAGAAATACTCTTAAAGGTAGCACAGAAATCAGAGTGAAGGAAAGCCCCCAAAGGGCAAAACAACCTCTCTGTTTGTTGGACTTTTGCTACCCTGCGTTAGGTTTGATTGTGATTTGGCTAGAGGGCTAAACCACCTCTCCAGCACAGACTGGTGTGTGGAGAGCCAAGGAGACCCGCCTTGGGGAAGAAGGGAGACAGGGAGCACCAGCAGCGCCACTCTTAGCTAGCAGGTAGTGCTACAGGACAGGCACTTCTCTGCGACACTGCCAGTTTATTCTTTTCAGATTAGTTCAGTGTGGAGTACTGGACGGCACAGGGAATTGATAGTGAGAGTATCATTGCAGCCTCCAAAAGCATGCTAGACACTTTACAGACAGACAGATGTGGACCCTACCCTGAAGAGTCCATTAACAATCTCAGCCCAATACTGCAAATACATATTACCAAGTATTATTCTTACTACGTGGTAGTAAACACTGCACTAAGTGATGAGTGTTTACAAGATGGGACCTTAATTTTAGACATGAGATACAGAGACCTTCGTCTGTATCTTACATGTTCAAATCCTGCCCAATTTGTAATAACCAAAAATGATTAATATCTGATGGCTGATTGGTGGTGGCCCAATTCTTAGTGAAAAGGGATGGTATTCACACTACCGCTGGAATCTTTTATGGCAGCCTTTGTAAAGAGAATAGGGATTTGAATGGACATGGTGATTGAACTACCTTACTTTTTCCAGGAAGGTGCCTTCAGATTTGAGTTGAGGCACAATCAACAGCAATTCCATCCTTCACCCCAGGAGGGGCTCTTCTCAGGGGAAGCTGCTCCTCCTGTTACCGCAATTTGAATTCCTCCACACCTGAAGGTTGAATTTAGCCCAATTTTTCCACAAAATTAATTTTAAACTAGAATTGGTTTTGCAATAGATTTTACTTTTCTTAGGGAGCCTCTCTTCCCAACAGGTGGATGGCAGAGTAGAAACTAGTTTTTTGAAGAATAATGCCATAGGGCAGGTAGACTGATGTTGGAAGACAGCATAACTTGCATGCAGATTGCTGAGGAAGGCATGTTTCTCAATGGTAATAAACTGAAATGTTGCTTATTTTCTGTAGGATCTCATTTCCCTACATGCAGAATGACATAAACCAAAGGCTGCACCATACATCACAGAGAGAGCTCATAAACTGATCACAAGGGTTTATTTATTCCTCAGTGATCCAAGGCAATTTCTGTCAAGAGTGTTTTGATATCTGACAAACAGAACAAATTAAAAAGAAAAATAGAAGACCGAACTAAAAAGGGCTCTCCAAGCCAGCGGGCACTAGCAGTGCTAAAAAGGGCAGCACACAAATTTGGGGATAGGAGAGAGCGTGTCTCACATCACTCCTCAGTGGCCCACTCTGGCCAAAGCCAGGAGACTGACTCCAGAGGGAGCTTCATCCACCTCAGCTGGAAGGGACAGGTTGGTCTGATGCAGGACACTTTGAAGGGAGAGCCTGAAAGTTCCACCCCACCAATGAGATCTTGTTTAAAACCTGTTTTTAAGCACATACTCATATGCTTATATGTTTTTACTATACATATGGAGAATCCGGTTCTGCCCATATGTCAATGCTGTCTAGTGAATCCTCAGACCATCAGCTTGGCTTAGATTTATTAGAAAATGTAATTTACTATATGTATGTAGAGTACATTGGAACTTTGTAGGGATATAATACTGTGGGAACCCTGTATGTCTTATTACTGACTTACAGTGCATTTAGCATTCACTGAGTGTGCTTAGCAATAACCTGATTTGGCCATTCAGAGATCTGACACATGCACACAGGCCAGTCATTTCAAGATATATCAGAAATCATCCATTCCAGTAATGAATTGGGGCCTCTGAGCTAGATAAAAAGCAATTAAAACCTTTTTCTCAACATCATGGGCTGTTCTCTGCTGCACACAGACATTCTGTTCAGTGCTTTCTTCTCCATAGGCCAAAGTAGAAAATATCACCCTTGTTGGTTGGCAATAGATAAATCTGCCTCAGCCATTATTTAAAGAGTGGCTCTGCCCTATGGTCACAAGTTTTATGGTAGAGAGAATCTTATTATGAAAATTTAACAATGGATAATTTAACACTTAGACCGTCTGCGATGTGCAGTCCACCAGGTTCAGGCAGTGGGCTCTCAAAAGCCATCACAAATTCCAACAGAATATGCTATTTCATTTCTCATTCCACATGTGTTATAATGGGCCATCCCCACAAACTCATGCTAAAGTAGAGAGAGCTGCATTGCATTTATTCTGACAATATCAACTTGTCTTTCATACATCACAGGTGTCTAGATAGGCAAAAAACAGGCAAAAGATGGAAGTGAAGTGACATGATATGAAATAATTTAGAGTATTTAGATTTGAGACTGAAGCACCTTTAAGGTATTATAACACTGGTCTACAATTTTTGAGAAGTCGTCTGCTTCAAAGATAAAATGTGCTATTTATTATGTATTTTGATGTGCTGAATTCAAATATGACAATTAAAACAACTGATTGGCTACTGTTTCTAAGATATTTCAATTTTTACATTTTAAGTCTATGTGTATTGTGTTTAGCGTAGAGTTTTAAACGTAAACTGT